ACAGGTGGTTCTGTTAAACTAGTATATTGTCTTGCTCCTGACCTAATGCCATAAAACACAAGGTGAGGACTCCGAGCAAACTCAATGAAATCAATGCACTTAAGTGTACCGATTTCAATGTGACTACACAAAGTACGTAGGTTAGATACCATATCACAGCTTGGGTGATAATCTATGGGGAAAAACTTACTAATGGCAGCAAATGGCAATACATTAAAGTCCGGTTGATTTTCAAAGTTATGTTAGGACTCTCTCTTGCAACCTGAAGAGGCAGATCACACACCCCCAAATGGCAAGATCTATAGATAACTGTAATAAACTGAGTATGTCACAAGCTGTATGTCGCCTACCACAACCACCATGTATAAATATCAGCTAAATAAACAAGCATGAGCCTGAAAAAGATTTATTTAGCAGCTGAATTCAACAGTAAAAATATTTCCTGAAAAATCACAACAAAAAGCCTACAAACAGTATCTGACTACACACAAGTCTGGAAGGGGTGAAGCAAAGAGAGGCACTAGAAGAAATCTGATTAAAATTAAAGATAGCACAGACCTCTGCCTGCTCTCTCCTGACGAGTTATGACGATTCCTAGACTTTTGGACCTTTGCTGCATTTATTTATTGCAGTACAGCAGCCAAGAGCATAAATTCTGAGATGAAGGTTCTTGATTTCAAGCTCAAGTTTTTAATATGGAATAATAAAGTTGTGCAAGCTTAAAAGACAATTGTAAGAAATGGTAAAAAAAAAAAATGATATTGGAAGTACTTTCAGCACACTGAGTAAAAGTTAGTTGAATACAATCCAGTGTACACCCACTGAAATTAATGGACCTAAGTTAGTCATGGTCATTAATTTCAGTGGGTGTACTCTGGGTAAAAGTTAACTTAATATAACTTTTTATATTTCTATAGTACACTGCAGTAAATTTTACCCTCCTTAAGAAGTCAGAAACATGTACCAAATTTTAAGCCAAACCTTTACAGAATCTCAAAGCCTAATAATATATTTTCCAACATCTATTTAAAATGTCCTAAGCACATTTCTTCAAATGTATCGATGATTTCTGCAAATATTACAGTTGTGGTAAAAGAATCAACAGGTGACATTCAAAGGTGTTTCCCACTTGTGGAATTAATATCCACTCACCTAATGGGACTTCTTTCCCCTGCAGCCCCAAAATTTGGTCTTGCCCTGGCTCCCACTCTCAGAGAGGAGACTCAGAGGACTTTCAGCTCAGGAAATCCCAAAGGATTTATTGATAAATCAGCACACAGTCTCAGGATCAGCTCTAGGTACAGAATACATCGTTCATGAGAGTTCTAGGATCATGTCTAGGCATAGGCAGGCACCATCACAGGACCAGTCAGTTATGTGGACCTCATTCCTAGTGAAAAGACTGTGCTTGCAAGGGAGCACTCCTAAAAGAGGAGCTGCTGAGTCTGTTCAGATGGTGGCATGTCTTTTGTGATGGGTACAGAGTCCAACCCCCTACCTCTTACTCAGCTGGCTTGGCCGAAGGGCTACCTGCCTCTTAGGCTACCCTGGAAACTTTGTGCTCAGAAGACTTAATAGGAACTGACCCAGCAGACTCCTGCTCCCTTACAGAAGAAGTCAGCAGCAGTGCCACACGACCCTCTTCTCCATCACTACTGGAAACTTCCCCACCCGCAATTGAGGCTCTCATCCTCTGACAGATCCTGGCATGCCTACCCTTGTCCTGGCTGTGGCGCATGACAGCTACGAAGGTTGAGTTGAAAGACCCGTGGCTGCAGGGAAAGAAAGCCTTGCTGCATCCACTTGTGGCACTGGATAATCACCTAGTACCGACACTAGGTAATCAGACCATGGGTTTTTATCTAGCACAGATATGCAAAGAAAGATATACAGTGGTACCTCGGGTTACATACGCTTAAGGTTACATACGCTTCAGGTTACAGACTCCGCTAACCCAGAAATAGTGCTTCAGGTTAAGAACTTTGCTTCAGGGTGAGAACAGAAATCGTGCTCTGGTGGCGCGGCGGCAGCAGGAGGCCCCATTAGCTAAAGTGGTGCTTCAGGTTAAGAACAGTTTCAGGTTAAGAACGGACCTCCGGAATGAATTAAGTACTTAACCTGAGATACGCATTGTCTCTTCCAAAATTAGGTTTACAGTCATACCTCAGGCTGAAGTTTCTTCAGGTTGAGCGCTTTCGGGTTGCGCTCCATGGTGACCCGGAAGTAACGGAACACGTTACTTCCAGGTTTCGCCGCTCGTGCATGCGCAGATGGTCAAAATGACGTCATGCGCATGCACAAAAGCGGCAAATCACGACCCGCACACACGCGGGTTGCGTTTACTTCAGGATGCGGAACGGATCCTGTTCATATCCAGAGGTACCACTGTACATGCATTTATAACACCACCCATAGCCTCCTCATCAACATTATATCCAAGAAGACAGTTCTGATGTTTATACAAACAATTCTGTAACACAGGCAACTCCTAAATTGTTACCTTTGCAAACTAAGCAGACGTTCTATGGTGACAACCCATAACCCTCTGAAATACTCTACATCAGCCTCAACCTGGTGCCCCCCTGATGGTTTGGATGCAACTCCCTTCGGCTCCAGCCATCCTATTTAGGACCAATGGGGGTTGTGCTTCAAACATCTGGAGTGCATCAAGTTGGCATGCAACCCTCTTGAGACCTATCAAAAAGTACTTCACAAGTTCGTAAGCAGAACATAAGGCGGCTGTACAATCTTTGCTGAGCCTCAAAGTATTTACTGCTGAGCAATAAATACTTAAGCAGTACTTGGGCTAGACCACTCATCGCCTCTTCTCCCCAACTCAAATATTATTGGTTACAGTTGCCATACCAAATGAGACTATCAAAAGTGCTGATCTCATGGCAAAACAAAGCATGTGAAGAACTTCCATAGTCTAGAAAAGAGGAATTCAGAGTCTCCATGGCACTGTTTGCAAACTATTGGCATTATTATTAGAAGCTGCACAAACACCACTTCCAATTCCATTTCCTTCCAGTTCCTCAGGTTAGAAAAGATAAAGGGGTCATGACCACAGGTTTCATAGCCCCGCTTTACTGAACGCAGGGCAGTACTATGAGGGCTACCCCTATGGCTGCAATCCCAGTATTAGTGGCCCCTATGACAGCAATAACTTTTATATGCCTGTTGTCTTTGTCCATGGAGTTTTCTTGGCAGGGATACTGGAGTGGCTTGCCAGTTCCTGCTCCAGGTGGATCACGTTTGATCAAAACTCTCCAGTAGTGGGTTTCCCAGTAGTGATGTATGGAAGTGAGAGCTGGACCATAAAGAAGGCTGATCGTCGAAGAATTGATGCTTTTGAATTATGGTGCTGGAGGAGACTCTTGAGAGTCCCATGGACTGCAAGAAGATCAAACGCATCCATTCTGAAGGAAATCAGACCTGAGTGCTCACTGGAAGGACAGATCGTGAAGTTGAGGCTCCAATACTTTGGCCACCTCATGAGAAGAGAAGACTCCCTGGAAAAGACCCTGATGGTGGGAAAGATGGAGGGCCCAAGGAGAAGGGGATGACAAAGGATGAGATGGGTGGATAGTGTTCTCGAAGCTACAAACATGAGCCTGACCAAACTGCGGGAGGCGGTGGAAGACAGGAGTGCCAGGCGTGCTCTGGTCCATGGGGTCACGAAGAGTCGGACACGACTAAACGACTAAACAACAACAATGACAGCAATGGAGATATCTGCTGTAACTATTACCACAGACAACTAGGCAATTACAAAGTTTCAGTGTTATTCACTTCTGTACAAACTTGCACACAACATACTAATTTAAAACACCACATTTCTGAACTAGATAAGATACCTATAATATTAATAAAGAGGTATTCCTAGTGTTTCTTCTTGAAATGAGCTACAGTTCAACCCAAAAAAAGCATCAAACTGCAAATTCTGAAACACTACAGTAATCAATTCTTTCACCTAGTTTATTTGCTACCAATATTGTTGTTCAAGATTGCGAAATACTGAAGTATATGAAGACATTATGATACACAGATACTATGCAATAGCATAATACACAGTACACAGTATAGTATAGTACACAGATACTAAGACATTTTCAACAATAAGCAGCGTGAGGTTTTTTTTTAAAAAAAGAGCGAATAAATTATGTTTTACTTAACCCTACTGCTCAGTGCTTCTGTGACTATTTCACAGCAGATTAAAAAGGCATTGTCATGGTTACCTTTCTTAGCTAGAGGTGTATCTATCACCTTCATTGTAGAGCTTTCAGCAGATGATGAAGACACACCTCTTTACTTTGGCCTTTGACATCTTTTATTTATTTATTTAAACTGTGTTGGTTCATTATTTTAATGATTTTGTCTGATATTAAATTGTATGACTATATTGTTGTAACTCGCCATGAGACGTTACGGTGAGGGCTACGTAAGTAATCCTATAAATAAATATGCATTTAAGTGTCTAGTTATTAGAGCAGTTTTTCAAGCAAAGCATAAGCTTTGAGATGAGATATAGATGGTACTTTGTTTTCTCAATGCTGCCTTATTGCTAAATCCTCAAATGTATTTCTTTTTAAAAAATAAACTATGGCTTTAGACTTGGCATATCAAAAAAGGCAAACATAAATGAAATGACACTGCTTTGGGGGGTTATCTATAACTTTTCTTCCTCCCACCCAAGCTTCCTATTCTAATTTCTTCATAAATCATGAACTACCCTATTTTTATGGGTTAAATTTGCTTTATTTTTATTTCATAAAATGTACACACTGTAAATAAGAAAACCTCATCTCTATTTACAAAAAAGGATAAAACATTAACTAAAAATTAATTTACTGCAGCTATACCACCTTGATTTTGTAATTTTAGCAAGTCCTGTAATATCTCCCTGAAACGGAATAGTTTAGTTTTTTTAAAAAATCAAAACAATAGTAGAACTTTTAACATTCTGCGTATTCTCATGCATCAAGAAAGAAAGCATTTACCTTGGCTGCTTACTCAGTTCTATGACAGTCTTGTGTGGCAAAGAGTCCTGTGTAGACTGCGCATCATCCTTCCAATGGGAAAAATGTTGAGGTTACTTGCAGATACAACACAGAGCATAAGAAGAAAAGTCTGTATGAAAATTCACCAAGGCTGCAATCCTGTACCCACTTATCTGGCAGCAAGTCTCACTGAACTCAGTAGATAGGACTGTGCTGCTGAACAGAGTTGAGCCTACCATGCCACAGAACTCGTGGAGTCATTCGAACCCCATTCACTTTATTTTTAAGGAAGTATACCGATCCCTCTTTAATTTTAAATGTTTTGAGGGTGGCTTATAAAATTTAGTAATCAAATCAAATCCACCAATAAAATGGCTTGGGATCCAAATATATGAATGAGTGCCTCTTTCCATACTAATTCTCCTATGCTTTGAGACCTTCAGGGACCTCTTTATTTCAGAAGTCATCAGTCAATATGGAAGGCTACTTCAGTGGCAACGTCCTGGGCCTCTGGAACATCCTCCCCAACATTGCTAATCTTCTGGTGCCATGTAAAATCCTTGTTTACTGACCCAGGTGTTTCAAATCCATTGCAAATTCATTTTATGCACTGCACTTTATACTTTCGTTTTTGTATTACCATGACTGATGGTCCACTGCCCTCAAATTCTAAGGGTGAGGAAAAAATGTTTAAGCCGCCACCACCACAAGATAAAGCAGATAAAAGGAAGCACTGAAGTAATCTCAGCAAGAATTAACAGGTAGCAAGCCACACACCACTGAGAGAGCCTCTCCCCATCACTATCTGCCTCAACCACAGATGACGAAGACACCTGGAAGAAGGGACCTGAAGTAGGTATCAGTGCACAAATAGTTCAAGTTGAAGTAAATGATTGCTCTAGGCAACTCAGCTCCCCAGTCTGGGAATTTGGAACCCTTTAATCATGCAAATTATACAAGATGTGATTTGTCATGCTTTCATGCTACAGTTTCATACAGTCAAGCTATTTTAAACTCAAATAAGAAATAACCAATGAAATAACATTACTGGGGGGGGGGTTCATTTTTGTTCACTATTTAACTATTTGAGAAGCCAACTGGCAATTGTTATAACCAGTCACAGTAGCTACCATGTTGCAAGCACAGTCAGTTTAGGTGTAACATTCACTGTACTACTGTACTACAACTTAACTTGGTCACCCAGTATACTTGTATTATACAGTACCTTGTAAACAATGTAGGCATCTAACAGTGTCCGTTCACTCAAAGAATGAATTTGTCAATGAAACAGGATGGGGAGGGATGCCATTTTCAGCAATTTCCCCTCCCCCTGCAACTCCCCTAAATCTGCTCAGGGGGTTTGAAAGGAACACTGAAAATTATCTCCCTTCCCCTCACGCCACTGACATTCTTTTCATCAAGAGGACACCATTGAACACCACGTGAAGTAAATGGCTAATAAGTTCACCAGCAAAATTTAGCACATTCCTTCTCCCAAACTTTTTCTTTATGGTATGATTACAAAAAAATGTTGTCCAGGCTGCATTAGGTGCCAGGTGAGGTGCATAATGCAGCCAACCATCTCATGCTAAGAACCTAAAACAAGACTGGCCTATTCACCAACACAACTGTGGCCTCCTGCAAAGAATTTCTTCATGATTATAAGGATTATTGCCATAAACTCACCATTGTAAGAAATGGGGTTGATGGGTTGTAACGATACGTTTCTTGGTCCTTTAGAATAAGAACGTGAGCAGAATCAGTGATAATTTTCTTCACATTTATTAACGAATGGAATAGCCTGTGAACAAAATAAATACTGCAGCTGTGGGAGGTTGGATTCAAGCATTCTTTATGTTAAAGGGCTACAAAAAAAGCAGCAATTACTAAGTGTTGACTAACACAAAGCTATTAATATGTTTACTTAAATATAAAATCAAGAGAAGTTTGTCCAAAATAGGAGACCAAATAATCAGATCTCCCCTCAAGCCAAGAAATACACCAGAGGCAGTATGAAATGTGCGACACTTACCTAGTGCCATAATCCACAACAACCCAATCTTTAGCTGTTCCTGTGATAGCATCATGATGTTGAAAAAGTCCCAAGTTTCTTCTCGCCTCTGTTAGTAATTTGTAGTGGTCCACCAAAGGAAATACTTTCATTTTCTCGGTTTTTTTAGACTGTACAAGAGCCAAGGAGTAAAGAATTTCAGCAGCCCTGAAACAAAAAAGATAATTTAAAAAAAAAAAAATGTTTACAATATTTGTATACCAACCTTTCAACATAAAGGTTCCCCAAGAGGTTTCCATAATACAACTGAACAAAGACTTACAACATCCTATTATTCACTTCAGCATTAGGTCAATGAGAAGCTACTTTCTTTCAAGGGTCTGAAACACAAGGCTAACAAAGCCTTAAGTATAACAACTTGTTTATGTTTAGAACTAATTAAAATACACCTAGCATCTATTGCAAGTTCTGGTTCTGTTTTCCTCAAGCACATGTGATAAGTTGTCAAGTGATCAAGCCTTCACTAACTTTCTCTTAAGCTACTTTCTGCTATACGCAAAGCCATTAGAGCAGACCGTTTTGGGAAAGGGATTAGACTGGACCCAGTGGTATGTACAAAGACACACACCTGACCATTCAATACCGTCTTCATCAGCAGTATGTCATGCAAACTAACAAATCCCTAGCTAGCTCTCGGGGGTAAGGCAAGAAGAAAGCAACCTAACTCGCTTCTAACATCAAATTATCTTTGCACAATAGGGTGCACTGTTGACTACAGAGCTAAGTATTCAGTTGTTTTTAACTATTTGAAAGAACCCTCTTTGGTGTGGTGTGCCATTTTCCCACTCCACCTACATTTCCTTTCCCAAGAAGAACTCAAAGTACAGGAAATGCTAGAAAACTCCAAACTAAAAACGTATCAAACACATTTGCTGAAATATGGGAGGATATAAACAGGAGATGCGTAACTCCCCGAACACACAAACACCAGTGTTCACAGGCAAATGAAGCACCAACCTTTCTTTCCAACCACCCTAGCACTGCCTTTCAAAAGAAGGGTTGCAAGACTAATCATGCTGGTCAATCTGGCCCTTTAGCTAGAGGACTAACCCAGCACACCTAGTCCCACAATAGATTGTTCAGGAAAACAGGCACAAGATCAGTACAACTGGAAGTAACCCCACGTTTGAAGTAGTGCAAACTAACTCAACCCCCTGCCCAAAAAAGCCAGTGACCCTACTTACCTTAAATATGACTCTAGAATCCTATCTAGGCGTTTGTAGAAGGGGCGTGAAGTAAAATATCCACTCCAGTAATGATTATCTCTGTCTGCATATGTGAAGAAATCGCCACTCAGAACAGGAAACACTGAATTACTGTTCTTTTCATCCAAATTACTAGCTTTACGGAGAGCCTCAAAATAATCTGACAAAGTCCCAAACTGAGCCTGAAGCAAATTAAAATATGGTATATAAGTTCTTTACACTGCGTTCAGTCGAAGCACATTCTGTTCTTGGAGACCGACGTTTTTGGCAGGCATCTGCTGTTCCGTTTCAGTACTGAAGCTCACGTTGCTTCCATTAGCTCTGGAATGGAACCTAGCCTCATCCTTTCTCCACCCCACCCCACCTTCTCTGAAGACATAAATCATGAATCTTCAAGTTTGAGAATTTATAGAGAGAGTCTAAGAATTCTGTGTTCATGCGTACAGTAAGCCAGCAAATTACATGGGAGTTACGTCCCAGGGTTCACGACTGAAGTCAAAACTGTGTATAGTCAAAACATGCTGAGTGCCATGGCGGGTGGGACTGCCAAATACTCCCCCCTCACACACACACCTGCCCCCCGTTTTACATGTCAAGCATGGAAAGTCACCTGAATACGACTTAGTTGTATATCACCCACATATTCTTAAAACATGTGTAGGAATATGTTTACTATGAAGTATATTCATCTGTGTTCAAGGTGGCTTACTGCACCTGGATTCATTCTAGAGTTCTTTCTATCACTGAGAATGCATAACCAACCAGCAAAGAAGCAAACCTGAAGTTGAAATGAACCGTGAAGGCAATGAAATCCATTTAACAACTGACTTACAGTAGGACTGTACCTTACCTTAACATGGAACTCTGGGTGAGAATTCATGTAATCAAAAAGCTTCTGATAATTTTGATACTGCTGATCCCATTCTGAACTCTCAGTGTAGCGGAAATCATCTCCCAGTGGAGCCAACAAAACTTTGGTGCGGAAAAGCTTCGATTTCTTTCTGTACTGATCTAAAATCATCCATGCCCTTGGGGGGAAAAAATAAAATTTGAGGGGGAAAGATAGAATAAGTGGATAAACCAACATGAACAGATATTTTGCAACAATACTCATTCTTACTAAGTCTGCAAAATTTCACCCAAATGGGGTGAATTAAAGTTTTCTAAAAGAGTTATGGCAGCCAAGTTGATTTGATTCCAATAGTTCTGACCTACAGTTCTGACATCAGAAGTGAGGAGGAAGAGCAGCTGGACTGATTTTTTTTAATAATGATTGCAAGTTGCGGCACAACTCTTCAAAATAAATAAATAAACTGGTGCAACCCAGTCCTATGCGTGCTTCTTGAAAACAAAGTTCCACCAAGTTCAATGTGACAATATTCCAAAGTATATATAAGGCTGTAGCCTTAGATGTTTTGTGTTTAGTCAGTACAAGGAGCACAAATACAATGCTTCTAAGAGTAACTTGATGATAAAAGAATCAATGCATCTACAAAACACATATCAATGAAATTTCAACATTTAATATTGTTTCTCAACCTATTTAGGTTTTATAGTTTAAATTCCATGCAAATCACATGGAATTTAATTCCATGTAATTTCCTCTGTTCTCAAGTTCATCTAATCTTTGCAGTTCACTGTCCATAAGTACAGTGATACCTCAGGTTACAGACGCTTCAGGTTACAGACTCCACTAACCCAGAAATGGTACCTTGGGTTAAGAACTTTGCTTCAGGATGAGAACAGAAATCATGCGGCGGCAGCGGGAGGCCCATTAGTGGTACCTCAGGTTAAGAACAGTTTCAGGTTAAGAATGGACCTCCAGAACGAATTAAGTTCTTAACCCGAGGTGCCACTGTAACATATTTCCCCCCACATCCACTAAAATCAACAGATTCCTTTTTTAAAGGATTCGTTTTTTAAAACAATGATGGATGACAGCAGACTTAGGTGTCTGTACTATAAAAACTGTCTACATCCCAATCCACCGAGAACACCCTTTGAAGAAATTGAGAGCTTCTGTCGTACAACAGAAAGGATATTCAGCTCAAGGAATGCTTCCAAGAGCTTTAGTTTAAGAAAATCCCAGGACAGTTGCAACAATCATAAAACACACTTAGTCAAAAACATAGGGTAAAAATAGTAAAGTTAAAACAAACTCAGTTTGCCCACAGGGAGATCTGCATAAGCAAAAAGATAATTTACCCAGCTTAGAAAAGAAATCAAACTGGGTGCCAGATAGGACCGATGGGGTGGGGTTGTCAGTGCAGGGCATTCTCTCCTGTTATCACTTGTCTTCCTTCAGAACAGGAGGAGGGAAGAGACCTCTGATATTAGTATTCATCCAGGCTCATGTGGGGCATTAATGGTCCTTTAAAATATTTAGCCAGTAAAGAATTCTCAACTCAGTTTATTATCATTTCCTAGTTTTGTATATATGTCCAAATTCTTCAGAACTGCCACAAGATACAAAACACTTCAGCAGAAAACAATAACGATTGAAGGACATCAAAAGTTTACAAACTTAATTGGAAGTCCTTTCTTAAACCAAAGCATTATTAAACCAAGGCGCACTTTCCCTAATGAGGCTCCCACTGCCGGTGCCCTTCCACCCTTCGGCTTCCGTTCTTAGACCGAGGGAAAGTTTGCAAACCGGGACACTACTTCTGGTTTTGCGGCGTTCGTAAACTGAATAGTTCGTAAACAGGGCTGTTCGTAGACTGAGGTACCACTGTACAGTTGTACCTTGGATCCTGAACGCCTTGTGAGTCAAATGTTTTGGCTCCCAAACGCCACAAACCCGGAAGTGAGTGTTGCGGTTTGCGAACGTTCTTTGGAACCCGAACATATGGCAGGGCTTCTGCAGCTTCCTGCAGCAAATCAGAAGCTGTGCTTTGGTTTCTGAATGTTTTGGAAGTCGAATAGTCTTCTGGAATGTATTCCGTTCAACTTCCAAGGTACGACTGTATTGTAAAGCGTATTCCAAATTAATGATTGCTCAAAGACAAGGTGCAGCTCCCTGCACAAAGTGAGACTTCATCCCAAGGGATTCAGGGCCATCGTCGTCGTCTGAAAATATGAGACAAGCCACCTGCAGGGTATATATGGCAGACTGCAGGGTCAGTAAGAGCACCCATACCTCTTGACAAAGCCAACTTTTATTCATATTAAAATTATTTGATTTCCACATCCTACATACTTTGAATTTGAATGGTTGACATTGTTCCAAGATATGACTGGCCATGAAATTAATGGGCAGCACTGTGTACTTACCTGTGCTGAATGTTTCCAGAATGAATGGCTTCAGGAGGAACTCTCCAGGGACAACTGACTCTTCCTCCAGGAAGGCGCTTGAAATCAAATTGGCAGCAAATTTTAGGATCTGGTCCACAAGTGTGAGGAATATCATAGCTATAAAAAGGCATCATGTGGCAGAGTATATCCGTATTAGATCCCAAATCTAGAATTAAAATAGGCAAGATAAAGATAAAAGGAATACTCTGTCCTTTCTCATTCATATCTCACTCATGCCCATTACATGACATGCCTTTTCTCTAACCAGAACAACATTTCAGAGAATTTTTATTTCCACCAGTAAAACATGGTAAAGGTAAAGAACCCCTGGATAGTTAAGTCCAGTCAAAGGGCGACTATGGGATTGTGGCGCTCATCTCACTTTCAGGCCGAGGGAGCCGGCGTTTGTCCACAGACAGCTTTCCGGGTCATGTGGCCAGCATGACTAAACTGCTTCTGGCACAACGGAACAGTGTGACAGAAACCAGAACACAGGGAAACACCGTTTACCTTCCCGCTGCAGCGGTACCTATTTATCTACTTGCACTGGCATACTTTCAAACTGCTAGGTTGGCAGGAGCTAGGACAGAGCAAAGGGAGCACACCCCACCACGGGGATTCAAACCGCTGACCTTCCGATCGGCAAGCCCAAGAGGTTCAATGGTTTAGACCACAGCGCCACCTGCATCCCATTTCCACCAGTAGTTAGCTCCAGGTATGCTCTTTGGCCTGTACTTTTTTTGACAAGTCTACTGATGTAATAAGGAAGTCCATGTGTGGTATCTATGTCACTTTAGGCCATGTCTCCCTAGGTCTGTTATTTAGTGCGCCCATTTAGAAGGAACCATCATGAGCCAAAAAACTGTCATTCCATCTTATCAGCTGACAGAATTAGTACTTTAATAATTTCCCATTCTATAATCTGAAATTGCAGTTGGAAGGCCTTTGGAAGACTGTTGGATCACAGCCAACCGTAACAAGCTTTGCAGCTATAAATGGTCTTATGACATAAGCTACCTCCCATACTTGTGGGCCTGGTAAGCTTTGCAAACCTGGCAATGATACCCAAATATTGATAAATATAACAGTGTTAAGTAAAGGATAGTGCAGAGAAACCCAACGAAATACAATGCCAGGTAACCCTGAAATGCCAAATTCAATACGGAAGAGATTGAAACAGCTTCAGAAGCAACAGGTCTAAGCCCCGGCTCAAAAACATAGAAACGCCATCTTAATAAAGCAGTCTATCATTAGAGACTTACAAACATTGTGTTTCTAAAAAGGAGACTTTGAAAGCTGATCAACTTCATCAGTGCATTTAAGCTAACCCAGTCGGGGGGGGGGTCCAATCCTTAGATCCAACCCATCTACTCCAAGCTTTCCTCAATTTTTATTTTATAAAATTCCTTTATTATCTTTGTTAGCACTGTCTACTCTGCAGAGGCAAAGAAGGAAGGGAAACCAAGCAGCCACCAAAATAGGGTAAACTAAATTTTGATCAATTCCACCATCCAGTTTTACTCAATGGATTTTTTTCAAAGCAATGTCAAAAAATTTGCCTGCTGAACACAAAACAAGAATACTGGCAAATAAATCTGTTTAGAGCCATAACCACACTTTTTTGAGCCACAGATACAATCATAATCTGACTTGTTGCATAATTTTAAATCCCTTAATTATATATTGTACATTGGCCTTGGGGTTCTTTGTAGTATTGCTTAACAATATGTTGTGTGCTTTGCTTATTAGTTCTTGTTGTGTATGCCAAACTTTGAAATTGGCAAGTGCGCTGTACAAAGAATTCGGGACACTACATTTCCTTGCATAAACTTAACATGCCAAATATAGTTGAGACAACTTCCTACAGCAATGGAAGATTAAGTTTAATAAGGAAGTTTTCTGGTGCCAAATAGTTTCCAGGCTAGGTCTGCCATATGTCCGGATTTTTCTGGACATTACCAGGATTTTCAAAGATGGAATTGACATCCAGAGGAATTTTTGAAAAGCAGCGCTTTGTCCTGGATCTTAGGCAAGTCAACCTTTGGGGTGCCCTGATTTTTACTTTTTGAAATATGGCAACTTTAGCCCAGGCACTTTCCAACATTTGTTTCCCTCTGTAAGTATAACCTTTGCCTCTGTCTCAAATAGAAAGAATTGCTTGAAACATTTTCTATCTTCAGTTTTCCAAAGCAAACTCCAATTATTCCTCAATCACTAAGGACAAAGAAAGAATCTCTTTGTTTGCCAGCATGAGCTTTAAATAGCCATATTACATAGTCACTCCCGGCTTTTCAAACTTTAAGGTGCTGCTTTCAGTACTTTATGTGATATGACATAGGTGAGCTCCACATGCAATTTCTTGAAGGTCACTGAGCATTTTCAGAGTTCTGTAAAAGTAACACTCATTTAACACCTGAACATCCTTGTGACCTGCAATCTGGAAATAGCTAAAAGGAATATAAAGAAATGCCAAAAATAATCCTATTTTCCACTGCTGATCCCTTCCCCATGACATGGCTTCAGTGAACACTGACCAACCTGATTACAATTATTGTATATTTTAGCCTACTACCCACCACAGTTTTCAAGAAAAAATCTGTTATGAAGACGTGTTTTGACAATTCCAGTGCAAGATTAACGCTGGGCAAGTGTGAACGCTGTATTAAACCATGGTTTAATTCTAAATGGCGGCGCCTCAGCATGCCTGAGAGAAGCAGATTCACATATTTCCCTCTACCCCATGCTAAACGTTAACCAACCACTGTTGTAAGTCAGAATTCCTGACTTATCCATAAAACTAAGTCAAGGTTATTTGAAACTGAAAGCAAACATGACAGAAGGTCTCCTCCTGACTGCAAGAGAAGAAAAAGAACGTGAGCCAATGCTTTACTTAGTTAGGCTCCATCACATAGCGCTAAACCATGGTTTAGCATTATGTGCAAACCAGCCCATTATCTTTTCATTTCTGAATAGCTATATTTTTGTGTTTCAGCAAAACCGAGCAAGACTCCTGCAGCACCTTACAAACTGAAATTTATTATAGTATGAGCTTTCGTTAGACTAAAGTCTAGTGCATCGGATGAATAGTGTATTGCATGTAGTTCTATAAATCATTTTGAAGTTACAAATTAGTTCTGAAGATAGCAACATAGAAAACTGTATTATCTATTAAATGTTCCGGGTCAAAGCAAGACCTTTCAGTTTCAAAGTATTTGTTGCTATGACAGTTCTTGGCATAAGGTCATGCAAAAAAGGAATACATACCCCAATTCTGTCTCCAGAAAAATTCTAGTGTCTTCTGGGCTGCATGATACTTTTTAATTGAATAATGAACTCTCTGTATAAGCATATTGGAAAATCCAGTGCGTTTCAAAAGATAAGCCATGGTTGGTGAATGTCCAAAGGGATCAACTGCCCAACCAGATTTTGGTTTCACTCCTAATAAAAAAAGAATACATGTTGAAAATGCACGCCATAGTGGAATAAAAATGAAAGTGCACCTTGTCTTGCACAGTTAAGATCTCATCCTATAGAAACTCAAATCCTTACCACTTAACTACGTTAAAAGAAGGGGGTGGGCAGAAATTTAATTTACTTATCAGGGAAGAGCTTTTATAATTCGGCTAGTGTTTGTTTATGCACCTGCGGATTCACGGAAAATAAATATTTTTTTTCTCGTATCAAAAATGTCTGGCTCGCACCCCTAACCAATTATGTAAGAATGAAAACAAAACAGTATGGCTAAAAATGACATTCCACTTGTCTACAGGACTGCAATTATACTTTACTAATTTAAGTTGTTGTTTTTCAAGTGGCATTTATTTTAAGGATTCTTTCTACGCAATTTTTAATTGCTTAAATTTCAAATTACACATTGGGAATGTCAAGACTGCAATCTCTTAATAATTATTAAGAGACTAGCATGCTCATCCTCCCACATGTAAAGTCACCCTCCTTTTTTAAAAGAAACTAACCACTGTGCACTATTATGTCGGCACCAATTTTAACCATTAGTAGCTCAATCATGGTTTTTTTTCTTCAAAGCAGGGCACTTTGAAGCTAGCCGTGATTAGGATTACACTACAATAGATTATGACCAGGAAAGCATTTAAAAATGATTACTATGGCAAACCACTGCAGTCTGTGGATAAAAATAATCAATAGCAATAAGTAACTGAATTATTTATTTTGATCTGTAGGTGGTAAAAATCTGCTGCATTAACAGTGTTTGGCTTAACTGAGTTCTCTTACGTGTTTTCACAATGACATCTGCTTCCTCTATAACTCTGGTATGGTAAAGCGAGTTTCACCATATAAAACTCAAAGGTACACTATTACATAAACTAACAACTGTTATTTATAACTATCCTGCAACTAATGTACAGTGGTACCTTGGTTTAAGAACAGCTTAGTTTATGAACAACTTGGATTGAGAACGCTGCAAACCCAGAAGTAGGTGTTTTGGTGTGAGAACTTTGCCTTGGAATAAGAACATGTTTCGCTTCCTGTTGAGTGTGTTCCATTTGTAAACTGAGTCCCACTGTGTGCCCCTCCCCCCCTGCTATGGGAAAGCATGCCTTGGTTTAAGAACGGACTTCCGGAATGGATTAAGTTTGTATACCAAGGTACAACTTACAGTGGTTGTCAATATTGAAATCATTTAATTAACGGGAAACAGTTTTTCTAAAATACTGTTAATGAAATAAAATACCTTGTCACAATGAAATCACAAGGCAAAAGTCACATGAACCCACCTAGTGCCTTCTCAAGCCATTGATGCCCTTCTATCAGCTGGTCAATTATAGCAAAATAATGAGCAGACGCTTCGTCAGGCATGACCCATCCCCCTGTTACAATTTCAAACTGTCCATCTTCAATTAACCTGAAAAACATATTTACTAAACTTTTATTCATGCATGTAACGATTTCCAATCAATAGATTATCTGGAGCAGCAACATACAATGTTGGCAGCAATGACACTTAAATATTAACAATACTTTCACCATGCCATAGAAGTTGTGGTGAAAGAAGAATGGCAACTTAAGTTGACAGAATACGCGCAGCTTGCAGACTTAACATACAGAATAAGAGAACAATGAGAACATACGGTTAGAGAAGATTGGAAAACATTGATTGAATATATGGGAAATAATTGTGTACAGCTGAGAACGCTGGCAGCATTAAGATAAACTCAACAGTGTTAATAAGCTTTGATGGATGCAATAATGGAATACTGAATAGTATACTTTTTGTAAAATATGCAGGGGTTTATGATATATAACATGAACCGTTGAAAGAGAAGTCATTTATATTTTAAGGATGTAAAAATGAGTATTTTAAATAAGAAAAAATTTAATAAAAATTATATACAAGCAACAGTACTTTCACCATTCAACAAGACCACTCTTAGCCCTCTGTAAAATGTCAAGAAGCAGATTCTATTAGGAATCATATACACAATTAGCCATCTTTCTCGGTATGGAACATCTTCTAACGATAAAATCATTTTCAAGGTGACTGGTCTGAAACTCATGAGCATTGAACCCCGCCCCCTCAGCCCATCAACTGACGTCACCCAGTGACATCAGCTGATGGGCAGGTGGCTGTGGTTTGGGGTGATTGGCCAGTGAAACAGATTCTTCACCCCTTGTCTAAAACCTGCTTTACTCAAGCTTTGGAAGAGCTGCACTCTCAATTCTACAGAAACCGAAATGCTCTAAAAGCTTCAGTTTGACCGCTCTAAACAGCACCCTCTTGAAATAAGAATGGCCACAGGCAGTATCTTAAATCAAACTTAAGCACTTTTTGACTCCTAACGTATTTCCATTGTGTAGCTGGCATGTTCAGTGGGATTAAGACAGTGTGACTTAAATCAGTGGGTTCAATAAAGTGCAACTGTTGACAGACTGTGCTTATATTTTAAACACGGGTGGATTGTCTGTCCTCCCCCCACCTATTATAAAAAGATGTTTCATTCTCAAGTTGCTGTACTAACCTGAGTTAGCAATAGTTTACCCTCGTTTGTTTAGAAAAGGTTGGCAAGTAATCTATCTCTAGAAAGCAGCTATTTATATGACACAGGCAATTCACCTGGAATACCCATCCCTCTGCCCATGTCCAGATTTTAAAAGCCATATCCCTTGGACTAAATTAAGAAAAACAAGAGGATTGAGATGGAATTAATTTCCTTTGGGTCCTTTTCTACTTCCTTCTGCCTCAAACCCATAGGCAGCTGCCAGTTCTGGATTTTATTCATGAGAATAAATAAACTCTTTGCTCAAGCCTCCTCATCATTCCCTTCAATACTTGTTCCTCAAAGAGGATGACCACTAAAAATAGCTCACATAGTGTGCACAGCAGAATTTATAGACGAAAAGCCAAATGGGCTCCAAGGGGAAAACACTGCAGATTTCATCAACTTCTGCCCTAATAACATATACGCAGACAAATCTGAAACAAATGTTGAACATTCCAATTTGTGTGGCAGTGAAAAATGAAAGTATATATATTTACACTGTTAGTTCTAAAGCGTGAAATCCACGCACGAAAATTCACTTTGATCTAGCTTCTGTGCCTTAATGCAAGTCAAAAGTGTCTAATTGCCAATTACCAAGTCATTATAAATTAGCAGCAGTATCAAAGAGGACTTTCTTACAATCAATAAATAATTTGTTGATTAGTACCTCTTCTTCTTTTTAAATTGAGACTAACAGGGTTTTTAACAGAATGTGAGGATCCCACAAATTACGTTCTAGCTCAGTAGCCCAAGAGGTTCTTTCATTGCTGCACAAAACTTTTGGAGCAGGCAGGCTGAGTGTCCCGGACATTAAGGAGATCCAGAGACATCCCAGTAATAGAATTTACATTGCCATATATAGTACCCGGTCCTTCTTCCAATCTAAGGCTTCTCTCCCTCAGCACAGATCAAGCATCTTAGCTAGGCCCTGCGAGCATTTCCCTTCTTTACTGTTTATGCTGGATTTTGGTGGAAGGTACTGTGCTCCTAGGGACGCGGGTGACGCTGTGGGTAAAAGCCTCAGCGCCTAGGGCTTGCCGATCGAAAGGTCGGCGGTTCGAATCCCCGCGGCGGGGTGCGCTCCCATTGCTCGGTCCCAGCGCCTGCCAACCTAGCAGTTCGAAAGCACCCCCCGGGTGCAAGTAGATAAATAGGGACCGCTTACTGGCGGGAAGGTAAATGGCGTTTCCGTGTGCGGCTCTGGCTTGCCAGAGCAGTGATGTCACGCTGGCCACGTGACCCGGAAGTGTCTCCGGACAGCGCTGGCCCCTGGCCTCTTGAGTGAGATGGGCGCACAACCCTAGAGTCTGTCAAGACTGGCCCGTACGGGCAGGGGTACCTTTACCTTTTTACTGTGCTCCTAGCTCAGTTGGTAGAGCATGAGACTCTTAATCTCAGGGTCATGGGTTTGAGCCCCACGCTGGGAAAAGGATCCCTGCATTGCAAGGGTTTGGGCTAGATGACTCTCATGGTCCCTTGCAACTCTTTAATTCTATGATTCCTTGACACAAAATGGCAAACACAGAGAAGAGGAGTCAAGTTTGCGGCAAGAAAAAGGCACACCACAATTTGCCACGATAGCTAAATGAATCTCCCTGCCTGTTGCTGTATCACAAATTCAGCATCTGAGTAAAGTGGTACCTCGGGTTACATACGCTTCAGGTTACAGACTCCACTAACCCAGAAATAGTACCTCAGGTTAAGAACTTTGCTTCAGGATGAGAACACAAATCGCACGGCGATGGCACGGCAGCAGCAGGAGGCCCCATTAGCTAAAGTGGTGCTTCAGGTTAAGAACAGTTTCAGGTTAAGAACGGACCTCCAGAACGAATTAAGTACTTAACCCGAGGTACCACTATACCACCAAATGTTGGGGAGCCAAACAACAAAGGATAATGATCGCCGCCATCACCCTGCTTGTGACGGGCAACTATCTGAAACAGAACGCTGGACTAGACAGGCAGTTCGTATAGAAAAAAATGCTGAGCATTTAAAAAAATAATACACTCTCTCTCCAGCATCAACTTTTTAAAGCACTAATTGGAAAGGCTCTCACTGACTTGAACTACGTTGCTTCTGGATATCAACCTAGAGGTGTTATCAAGCCGGTTGTAATGAACACTCAGAATACCAATATGCTTGTTTTGCATGGAAAATATACTAAGCCATAAAGCTCACTATTGAAAAATTATGCATCATGACAACACTATTTGGGACAATACCATAGCAATGAATACTGCAAGCAAAATCTCTTTCAAAGGGTTTCAAGAAAAATGAATGTTGATCCGTATGCTTTGTGTCAGCAACACAAAGTTAATTTGCATCTCCCCGTGGAGTTAAGAGCACCAGATCTGATGCAGTAATTTCATTTTCACTTGTCATTCTATTTTCACTTTCCAGTCCTGTGATTTAGTCACACTCGTCAATCAGCCTCGAGAACTGTCCCCACTTGACTTGTACGCAGTGCTAATAAAGCTGCGCTGCCCTGCCCTTTGGTCCGTGGCAAGCACTTGAATACTTATTGGGAAGGCTCCTGCCAACAACTTGCCACATTCTCTACAGCGTTGTTAATGCTTCCGGTTTCAGAAACAGAAAATTCAACTGAAGCTACAACAAATGAGTGACAGCCACATGAAGGAGAACAGCAAAGAAACGGTAAAACCGTTGGGAGAAAAATGCCTAATTCAACAACTTTCTAGAGTAGCTAGAGTAGTGGCATTTCTAGAGTAGTGGCATTTCTGTACCTTAAAAGCTAGCCAAATAACCACCTTATTGCAGGTTTGGGGTTTTTTTGTTTAAGTGGTAACCCATGACACTGTTTTCACTGAAGAATTAAGAATTGCTTGTGCCACCACTTAAGATTTCTGCTCCAAAGTGTTCATCTTATGGCGCTTGGTAATTTAACTGTTAAGGAATTAGACTAAATTGTATATGGGGGGGGGTGGATCCCAGATACAGCAACATGTTAGAACTCTACAATTTATGAACCTGTGAATAACGAAAACAACTATAGTTAATATTGATGTGCCTTTAGGGCCTCTGACAGAATGGGAGGCATATACATATACATATACATACAATAAATAAATAAAATATACAGACCTTTTCACAGCATCCTTCTTCTGACTATCTATTCCATCCCACCACTTGGAAAAATAAGAGATTTCAGACCATATAAATTTCCTCCCTTTGTCTTCTTGCAGCTTTAGAACCATGTTATTGAGAATATGCTGCGTCTGATCTCTAAAGTAGTCATCGAATGTCTTCAGCCAGCCTTTTAAACATAAAAAGATCACACAGTGATTAAATTAAGTAGAATACAGGATTTACCAGAAACAATAGTCAAGAGTCATTTACCTGACTAAGGTTACACTGGAGGCAGTTTGCAGACTGGCAGTGACACACACACACACACAGAAAAATTAAGTTCATCTATATCTTGTTGCTTTTTAGCAAAAAACAACAACAAAAGTTATGGTGGTAATACTAGCATCATGGTGAATGATCTGAGCATCAAATGCTGTAAGACAGGGGTAAACAACATGATGCTAAACCAGGCACAGGCAAACTCGGCCCTCCAGATGTTTTTGAGACTACAATTCCCATCATCCCTGACCCCTGGTCCTGTTAGCTAGGGATGGTGGGTGTTGTAGTCCCAAAACATCTGAAGGAACGAGTTTGCCTATGCCTGTGCTAAACAGTGGTGTAAGGTAAAGGTAAAGGTACCCCTGCCCGTACGGGCCAGTCTTGCCAGACTCTAGGGTTGTGCGCTCATCTCACTCTATAGGCTGGGAGCCAGCGCTGTCCGCAGACACTTCCGGGTCACGTGGCCAGCGTGACAAGCTGCATCTGGCGAGCCAGCGCAACACACGGAACGCCATTTACCTTCCCGCTAGTAAGCGGTCCCTATTTATCTACTTGCACCCGGGGGTGCTTTCGAACTGCTAGGTTGGCAGGCGCTGTGACCGAACGACGGGAGCGCACCCCGCCGCGGGGATTCAAACCGCCGACCTTTCGATCGGCAAGTCCTAGGCGCTGAGCTTTTACCCACAGCGCTACCCGCGTCCCAATAAACAGCGGTGTATCCATCTACAATAAACAGTGGTGTATCCATCTACAACTCCCACCACTGGCTATGGTGGCAGAGGTTGATGGGAGCAGCTTCTGGAGGTCACCAAATTAGCTACTCATGGGGAACGGCACATGTTTTGAAATAATAAAAAGTGAACCAACAAAAGTCAGTTCAGCTGCATGTCCATCACTTTGTAAAGAAATACCATGAGCAGCAAACACATTGGGTTAGGAAGTTCTCCCTAACATGTACTCTGAATCCTTACAACTTGAACCCATTTGTTCAGGTCCTACCCTCTGGAGTAACAAAACATACATTTTGTCTATCACGTATGTGGCAGCCCCTCAAATATTTGAATATGTCTATCGTATTGCCTTTTTAATCATCTCTTCTCCAAGCTACGTATACCCACGTCCTTCAATCTCTCCTCAAAGGACTTGTTCTCCAGGCCCCTCACCATCTTTGTTTCCCTTCTTACTGAACAAATTCCAGTTTGTCAATATCTGTCTTAAACTGCAATGCCCAGAATTCACCACAGTACTCCAGGTGATATCTGACCAAAGCAGAATAGAGCAATACGATTACTTCTTCTTCTTGTGAACTGGCCTTATATTTCTATTGATGCAGCCTAGAACTGCATTAGCCTTTTTCAATCTCGCATCAAGCTGCAGACCTATTTAGCCTATGTGCCATTAATACTTCTACCTCCTTTTCATATATTCTGCTGCCAAACCAAGCATCACCTATCCTGTATTTCTGCATCTTCTGTTCCAAGGTAAATGCAGAACTTTACAGTTATCCATTGGAATATGTTATTAGCTTTAGTCCTTTTCTGTTTTATGTAAATAAATATTAATAATAATAATAATAATAATAATAATAATAATGACGATGATGATGATGATGGCATGTTTCCCATGCAAGCTTTGGGCTCTCAGCATTTCTCAATCTGTCTGTTCCTTAAATAAGCTTAGTGGTCTTATCCAAAGAATCAAATGGCTCTGGATTTTAGAGTGTTAAGACTCTTACTCGCCAGATATGCCTTGTGCTACTGCCCTAACAAGGGATAAAACCTGCCCTACACAGAAAGAATGTCAAGGACCACATTTCAGCCCCATTCGAGGCAACTGCCATGCAAAAATAAATCTCCAAATCCTTTTAGAATTTTGTTTTACCTGGATCATTATGTGAATGAGGCACAACAAAAACTTGAAGAGGTTCACTGTCCCACTCGTGTTCATCATAGGTGATATCAAATCCTTGTTTCCAAACTCCACCATCTGGATTATCAAAAGGAAGAATGTCATAGACATCTAGCATCTAAAATGGATGAAGAAAAAAGGTTACATGAGAACACATTAAGTGGTTGAAGTACACAGTTCTGTACTTACAAAGGCAAGGCTGTAGTCAGTTGCAAATTATTTTTTAAAAAAATAAAATAAAATAGTAAGGGGAAAAACTCACACTGAAAATTCACACTGTTCTTTATTCAAATGAGAATTTACATAGAATATATTGAGCAAAGTATCTGTTTAAGTTATTTAATTGAAACTTTGCACCTACTGAATGTGATCAATAATCACCACAACCCCACTTTCTGCATGCTTAGAGTGTTAACTCCTTTCTGAACAAGAACAAGGCATCAAATACGACTACAGTCGTACCTTGGCTCCCGAACGCCAGAAACCCAAAAGTGAGTGTTCCGGTTTGCAAATGTTCTTTTGGAACCTGCAAGTCCAACAGGACTTCCGCAGCTTCTGATTGGCTGCAGGAACTTCCTGCAGCCAGTCGGAAGCTGCGCTTTGGTTTCCGAACATTTTGGAAGTCGAATGGACTTCCGGAATGGATTCCATTCGACTTCCAAGCTACAAATGTATGAGAAAAGCCAACGAAACAACAGACACCAGCGCACACCAGCAGTTCCCAATTACGCTCAAAAAAATATTTTATATGTCTAATATTTATTGAAGACTTCTTGAAAACATTTTCAAGGTGAGTTGCAGCATGGAAGTCCGTCCCCTCCCCCCCGTCTCTAATAAGGAGTATAAATATTTTCTGTCTTAAAGACATGTTTAGTTGCTGTCGTTTCCTTGAGCTCCTTTCTCCCATGAAAGAAAGTATTCTAGCAATAGTAATACTATTTATGCTGGGATTTGTTTTTCAAGTGTGCCATCACATGAGTCTTAATAACCCACTATAATTACAAGCACAAGGCTGGTGGAATCAGCATTAAATCAAGTATTAACACAGTGAGCTGATATGTGTGTGCTTTTTTCTTGATTTGTTCAAAGTACAAGACATAAACAGGGAAGCTTGAGCGTGACTACTCTCCATGACACATTTGATTCTGCAATTACGGCTTACCTTTCCCACAAAACCTGCTCAAAGGTAACCAAGCAACTATTACACCTTACAGTAAGTGAACACGATGGGACACGATGCATTCTACACTCTTTTTAATAAAGATGCTGCAACATGGGCATCAATCTTCAGTCCTACAAACTAAAATCCTATCTAAGCCTTGCAAAGCACACAGTTGCATGTCAGTGTTCTGTTGCAGAATAAAGTCTTTCGGATCAAAATCAGGGTTTGCATAACTGATATTAACTGCAACTGCTGAGATGCTGACCAGGTATCAATGAATTCCATTCATTGCAACTAGAATTATCTTCTCCTTTGGGGGAGAAGATCATATGACAATGATCTTACCACAGTGGCTTTCATCTATACAGTAATGCAGTAATATTTTTGTATTTATGACACAGAAGCCTCCGTCAACAATCACCTAAACTTTCTTAATGTTGGAAGGGGTTAGAAAAGTCACTTGGCTGTCACTGACTGGAGACAGAAAGGGTCTAAACAAGGAAACCTAATAAGATGCTGTGGCCCAGGAAAAGCAGCAGCAGATACCTGGGCAGTTAATGGACCACAGTAAAAAGGGGGGAAGGAGTGTTGAATATGATGGATGGGAAAGAAAACTGTCCAGAGGGGGGGAAAAGAGGTCAGAGAAAGAAAAGAAGCTGAGAAAGAATAGCAGGCACATTCACATGGCCAAGAGCTAAAATGCCAACGAAAGCCGACATTTACATAATGACCTGGGGAAAACAGTCAAATCTCTGGCTGCTGGACTCAAGCAGTGCTTTATTTACAAAAGCCTCATAACACAAAACAAGGCTAATTCCATACCAGCAACCTGGCTCAATCTTTTGAGCTTGCAGACCTCCCGTTATTCAGTATCTTCATATCTTCATCCATGTTATAGCTTTTCAGATTTAAGTTTAGTTTTTAAATGTAATTTGCATCATAAAGATGTATCTTTTAACATGCCAATAGAAAAATACTCTCTGTGGGCATAATCATTCCAAAGCACAACGAGAATGCTGCAACTATATAATGCCACACCGTGCATGACCTCTCATTTCTTAGATGAGCCAAGAGTACCCACCAGTTATCCACTCATATTCCACCTGGAAAGAATGAGGCAATTCCTTAAAACCAAAGAACTGAGCAAAAAACATCCCTCAGGCTGCAACACAGCCACCTTTTCTTGTAAGTCCCACTGACTTAAGTATAACTTACACTCAAGTGTTATTTGATTAACCTGCAAGTCAACTAAGTTGTTTGGGAAACTCGCTTAAGGAGCCACTTTAAAAAGCTTAGTATTGGTTAGGAGAGGAATTAGTCTAGTCTGTTTTCCTGACTTTGGCTGAGGTTTGAAAAAAAAAAAAGCTTCCAGTTGCATTTCACCATGGGTAGGCAAACTAAGGCCTGGGGGCCGGATCTGGCTCAATCGCCTTCTAAATCCAGCCCGTGGACGGTCTGGGAATCAGCGTGTGTTTACATGAGTAGAATGTGTCCTTTTATTTAAAATGCATCTCTGGGTTATTTGTGGGGCATAGGAATTCATTCATTATTTTTTTCTTCAAAATACAGTCCGGCCCACCACAAGGTCTGAGGGACAGTGGACCGGCCCCCTGCTGAAAAAGTTTGCTGACCCCTGCATTGCACACTTCGTTTTGGTATGCAAAAGATCTGCACAAAATGCATATTTTATGGATGGGTGTATTTTATGTAAAAAGTCTATACAAGAATTGTAGTTTAAATGTGGACTTTCTGTGCATTCTTAAAGAAGAAAAAGAAAAACCTGCACAAACAGGATTAACCTACGACTGAGCACCCAGTGAGACTGAAAGGAATGGAATTAAATACACAGCTCATCCCTAGCAATAAATTCACTATATTCTTACCTGTACATCTGAGGCTTGGCTTCCACTTTTTGATGCAAACTGACAATCTTCAGGGTCAACTGAGAGGTACATAGTGGCAAGAGGTGACAGCTCAGAGAAGTTTCCTTGACTGAAGTTTATAGCCTCTGGAGTACGTTGTCCATCTTTGACAGATTCACTCAAATTGATCACAGAATCTCTTATGTTTGAAATTATTTCATTATTTTCTGCCAATAAGCGCTCCAGGTGGTCTATTTTCTCTTGCAGTATTGAAAGCTGACCCTGTGGAGAGGCACAACATTAGTCCTTCAAATGTGCAAGCTACTGTATTTCACATCCCACTTGTACTGAACGAAACTCACATCTCTACTAAACAGGCCTTCAGAGTCCAAAGGAAAAGAAATGGAAAAGAAAAGCCCCTGATGACCAAAGAAAATTTTCTCAGAAAAAGATTAAAATAATGAAGACTGTTTTCTTCAGTAATCAAAGTCTTAATAAAAAAAATAACAGTATGAAAGCACATTGCACAAATCCGTTACAAAGCAAGTGAAGAGACAGACATTTTCAAATTTTAACTTTTCAATTCTTTTCAGCCATGTTTTCAACTAAAAGCACATCTGAGAACTTGTCTTCCTATTAAGGCAAGACCTGACTGAAAGGTTTTGTAACCTGCTGCAAAAGGTAATAAAATATGGTCTAATATTTTCATTAATATGCAGACATTTCCTTTATGACATATGATTTTAATAACCCGTTTTCAAGAGGAACTGGAAAAAGTTTCAGGAGAGCAAAAGAACAAGTTCGACCAGCTGAGGCTTGTCCGCACCATCAATGTTCTGGGAAGCAGGTGTTATTTCCTCCCTGGTTTATTGAGAGTTTTTCCACACATCTTCCCTTGTGCTATTGCTTGTGTCATGTATGCTGCCTTTCCCAGCCACAAAAAGGCACTAATCTGTGCAGAGAAGTGTAACTTCTCCAGTGCATTCCTTGCTAATGGCAACTGTAGTTCAATGTCCAACAGCTGCTGTCAAGCGGATTGTCACTAACATATTGGTTACAAACTGGGCTAGACTAGGATCATTTAACCAACTACCAAATGCACTTGAGGAAAAATGCAGAGCCATGACAGGTGTCAGCTACCTATTTTATGTAAATGTAAAATGATTGTTTATATACCAGTTTTAACACTGCCACAACAATCTAAAACAGCAACTTTTAATCCACTGATGACCGAAAGTTTAAAGGCAGTGCCAACAAAAGAAGAGTGGCAGATCAAACTGATGGACTATGCCGAGTTGGCGAAATTAACTGGGAAAATTCGGAAGCAGCAAGACCAGACTTTCCTGAAAGATTGGAAGAAATTTATGATATATTTGAATGACAACTGTAATCAACTGACATCGCTTGTAGGGTTGCAAGAATTTTTGTAAGGAGAACTATATGAATTATTGCAAAAAAGGACTAAGAAGTATTGTATTTAGGAGTTGGGTTTTATAGCAAAAACTATTAAAATAAAAGGGGCGCGGGTGGCACTGTGGGTAAAAGCCTCAGCGCCTAGGGCTTGCCGATCGAAAGGTCGGCGGTTCGAATCCCCGCGGCGGGGTGCGCTCCCGTTGCTCGGTCCCAGCGCCTGCCAACCTAGCAGTTCGAAAGCACTCCCGGGTGCAAGTAGATAAATAGGGACCGCTTACTAGCGGGAAGGTAAACGGCGTTTCCGTGTGCGGCTCTGGCTCACCAGAGCAGCGATGTCACGCTGGCAACGTGACCTGGAAGTGTCTCCGGACAGCGCTGGCCCCCGGCCTCTTGAGTGAGATGGGCGCACAACCCTAGAGTCTGTCAAGACTGGCCCGTATGGGCAGGGGTACCTTTACCTTTACCTTTATTAAAATAAAATGCAAAATCAGAAAGCCATTAGTCAAGGTTGACGGAAGTCCTTGGCTGTGGTAGCCAAAGATTTGTTATACTGTATAAGATGGGATGTTATGTTATGTTTGGAAAACATGTGTAAAAACCAACAAAAATTATTCTTTAAAAAAGTAAGTTTAAAGACAGTGATCTGCCCAAAGTCCACAAGAGAAAATGCACATGAACACATGTCGAACCAGCTAAAACTCAAATTCTATCTACTGAAGGACAATACATCCTGTTTTACACCAGGTACAGTAATGCTAATCCATTCAACAGCATATAAATTCTCCTTCGGGGCATTTCTGTTTCTTATTAGTATTTCTGCAGGAATCCTGGGGGCTGTTGTCTTTCCCCCAGTCTAGATCCTTTGCAGCTAGCTCCTTTAGTTTCTGTCTTAATACACAGTTGCATTTTTTAAGCTTCTGTCTGAATGAGCTGCTTTCTAAAAGGAAGGCTCATTAATACCTTTCCATTCAAATGTTACAGTTTTTATCAGGTTTACAAGCCACACTAGTTGCTTAGTTGCTGATTAGATCATTCCTTTGATGTGACAGATTTTTTTGGGGGGGGGATACAAAGGTTCGCAGTATTCTTTCTGGCATCTGCAAAGCTGAACATCTGAAAGCAATTTATAAATATTATGGCAGCCCTGAGAAAGTTTTTTTTTTAAAAAAAAGAGCTAAAGCACTGAAGTGTTACTTCATGCCCCCTGGTGGTACATTAACCAAATGTCTAAGGCCAAAATTATCTGAAACATTCTAATCTTAGCAGTCCTTGAGAATTATACAACAACAAAATCACTTCCAGTTAAGACAATGAGCGAGCGGTGTGCATTTCAAATCTATTACTTTATTACCATAATTTTGGAACACCTGAACTAATGATTCCAGGGAACACAGATATGATATTTGGCTAGAGAAGTAATGTTTTGCAACCACATGCGAGATGGTTCCTGCTTTTCTTCAAGCAGGAGCATCAGGTATAAAATTTACTTAGTATTTTTTGAAACCTCACAACCTCAAGTAATTCACCGTTGCATCTCGAACAATACAAAACTTGAATTCTTTGTATTCGCAATTATGGATTCTCACAGGGCTGAAGGCTTTCATTCTTTAGAAGCATTCTGGAATATCAAAAATACTTTAAGAATATAACAGCTTTAGAAGAAAAATGAAAGACTCTTACAGCACCTAATGATAATACACTTATTTTGGCGAATGTAACCTTTCACGGACTACAGTCCACTTCCTTGAAATCTTATGCCATAATAAAAAGCTTTGGCTTTGTGATGCAAAGCTGTTGTTTTTGCTGCAACAGATAAAAGTAGCTTTAGAAGAGGAATTGCTTCATTCATAATTACTCATGGGCTTCCCGCCCCCTCCTAGCCTTGGGGAGCACTGAAGCAATGCAGAGTTCTGGGTATCCAAAACTCAGTAATCAGAATCAATTTAGCTGATAAAAGTGATTTGCACAATACTACCAAGCGAGCTTAGGGACGCGGGTGGCGCTGTGGGTAAAACCTCAGTGCCTAGGACTTGCCAATCGCATGGTCGGCGGTTCGAATCCCCGCGGCGGGGTGAGCTCCCGTCTTTCGCTCCCAGCTCCTGCCCACCTAGCAGTTCAAAAGCACCCCCGGGTGCAAGTAGATAAATAGGGACCGCTTACTAGCGGGAAGGTAAACGGTGTTTCCGTGTGCGGCTCTGGCTCGCCAGAGCAGCTTCGTCACGCTGGCCACGTGACCCGGAAGTGTCTCTGGACAGCGCTGGCCCCTGGCCTCTTAAGTGAGATGGGCGCACAACCCTAGAGTCGGACATGACTGGCCCATACGGGCAGGGGTACCTTTACCTTACCAAGCGAGCTTAATGGCTGAGCAGACAATTCAATGTTAAAAATTCCCCAGGCACTAGGCGTATTATGCGACTTGCGCAGGTCCAACTGCGAACATGTGGAGATCACTGGATGCCAAGCTGGCGACTGACATCTCCATCTGGCTGGCCCCTCCAGCTTTCTTAAGATGGTAAGCAGAAGAGCTTATTTATTGCATTTATATCCCATCTTTTACTCCAAGGAGTACTCCCCTCATCAGTTAATCCCTGCAGCAACTGGCCCAAAGTAACCTGTGAGCTTCATGACCGAGTAGGGATTTGAACCCTGATCTCCCAGTCCAACACTAACCACTACACTATACTGGCTTCCTAGAGTACTTCTGCTTTGGGGCAGCTATATAAATTAAGTAGGTAATATGGGGAAAGCAAAATGTCACTTAGGGAATGATCTGGAATATTTTTATTGAAGCTTGTATTTGTTTCATACTGAATTGTTTTATTTAATGTGTTGTAAATGGCTATGAGATTTTTTTTTCTTTAAAAGATAGAAAGGTATAGAAATGAAATGAATCATCATCATCATCATAAACTTCATTGTTTTTTTTAAAAAAAAGGTGTCTAGACCAGGCATCCCCAACCTTCGGCCCTCCAGATGTTTTGGACTACAATTCCCATCATCCCTGACCACTGGTCCTGTTAGCTAGGGATTATGGGAGTTGTAGGCTGAAACATCTGGAGGGCCACAGGCTGGGGATGCCCGGTCTAGACATTCCATTGTGGCGGCTGTAACCTTGGTTTTAGGTGCCGTTTGGCAATTAGCTCATATATCTGAGTGTCCAACACTGGCAGACATATAAATTCAGATCTCCCAAGTCTTCCCCTCTAGGGACGGGGAAGTTTGCATGGGAAATGACAGATCAGACAAAAGAAGGAATGAGACCTCAAAACATGCTCCTAAGCTCCAACTAAGGTTAGGAGATGGTTACACTGTCCTTTGGGAGATTTTGCCACGTTGGGCAAAAGATTCGAAAGAGTTGAACTAGATGATCCTCGTGGTCCCATCTAACTCTACAATTCTATGAACACTACAACAGATTATGTTGTTACTGCATTGTTATTAATATTTACAGCCTGAACTTCACCAGGAAGTCACAAGATGGGTCACAACAATCTAAAAATCAACATTAAAAGCTGTTTGAACAAAGGACAGCTATAGGAATAGGGTAGGTCCTGAAAACACATTATCTCAAGTATCAAAGGTCAGGGCAAAGAGGTACGTCTTTATCATATGACAAAAGCTGCATAATGAAGATGCCAAACACATCTGCCACACATAATACCTTTTTCCACTCAATATCAGAGGGAGGTGGAACTACCAAGAGGGCTCCCACTGCTGGTCTTAATACTCAAGAGGGTCTCTAGAGAAGGAGGTGGTTTTTCAGATATTTGGCACCCAAGTCATTTAGGGTTTCAAACACTAACGTGAGCACCTTGAATTGGGCCCAGACTGGTAATCAATGCAGCTGTTATATGCATTCTGAAGGGAAC